CGCGTGTTAATGAAATGGCGTGTAGGCCGTAAGTACACATATAACCATGTTAACAAAATGATGTGTATGCTGTAAGTACGTATAAACTTGTCTTAACAAAATGGTGTGTAGGTTGTAAGTACACATATTATTGGTGGATTGTGAGTCATTGGTTATATGCATGTATATAGTATTTAGGTACTTCATTGATTTTTGAGAAGGGAAAATTTTGATTGTACACATGTGCATTCGCAACCTGTTTCTGTATAATGTAATTATACTTTGATATATATGCGGCATTGTAACGCCTGGTTCTTGGTATGTATTTAACTTATAAATTATTAATTTTATATAGCAACTCGACGAGTTGGAGGCCCCAAAATCGTCGAGTAGAGATGTTTTGGACCATGCGTTTTAGTGACCAACTCAACGAGTTGGGAGGTCTCAACTCGACGAGTTGGTTGGGTAAAATAAAACCCCAATTCCAGAGTTTTGCACCATATTTAAACACCTTAACCCCAAGGTGTTGGCCTCATTTCCAGCCTCCACTATCCTAACCCTAAATCTCAAAACCCTAAAGCTATTTTGAGTGATTGTGAGCCTTTTTGTGTGTTTTTGGTGTGTGTTGAAGCCAATGGAAGAAGGAAAAGCTTGAAGGCACAAGATGGAGCTTGTAGATCCAGAATCCTTGCCTCATCCACGATACTTTTCTTGTATAAAGCTTAAACCTTGCCTTGTAGTTGCTTAGATCTTCTTTTTGCGTTAATTTGCTTGGTTTTGTCCAAATATATTGGTCCCATGGGAGTTGGAGATCCCAAACGGGTTAACACTTCAGATCTGGGGTCTTGAGGGGTTTCCATGGCATAAAGTTGCCAACTTTATGGCCATGGGAGTCCCATGCAACCTTGAGACCATCATTTTGGCCTTTTGGAGCTTATAATGGCCATGTATGAAGAAAAAAAATGGAACTTTACGTGATCTTTTTGTCCCTAGAGTCCAGATCTATGACCTCATGGTCTATCTTGTAGTTTTGATGGTCTTTGGATTAAGGATTTGGCTTTTTTGGGTTTGGGTTTGAGGTTAATCTCTTTAGGAAAGGTATTATTGGGTAAAGTTGGAAACTTTACCCTTCTAGAGGCTTTTCCAGTCTAGATCTAAAGTATTAGGTGTATATCTAAAGAATAATGGCTTAATGCATTAAGAAGGGTTCGCAAACGGATGAAGCCGACGAGTCCATAAGTGAACTCGTCAACTCGACTAGCTAGTTTTGAATGTTCCCAATTCTGTTGAAAAAGAAGGAACTCGACGAGTTAAAAAGAGAAACACGATGAGTTGATTTGATATATCACGATTCTGTGATTCATCGGGACTCGGCGAGTTGAAGGATAACTCGACGAGTTGAGTCAACATGGAGCATTGAATTTAACTTTGACATTGACTTGGATGTTGACATTGAATTTGGCCAAGCTTGACCTTTTATAGACTTTGAAGTATGGGTCAATATCTAAGGGATTGTTTCTGTTTAGGGATTGAGTAGAGTTGTTTTTGGGGCTGGGGATTATCCAGTTATCTTTCAGCATTTTAGGTGAGTCTCCTTGTTTTTCTATGGGTTGAAGGCACCAATGCCAACCCATGTTTATGTTATGAGTATGCTAGCTGTCTTTGTGAATTTAGCATGTGTATGTGTTTATATGCTTTCCAGGCTAAGGCCCGATGCCGAGCGGGCCCGATGGATTTTCATATGCTATGTAGCTTTGTGATTATTGCATGAGTATGTGTTATTGATATATGTTATTGTATGTTGGACGGGGATCGTTTTACTGAGCTCAACTCGATGCTGGGAGGGGTCCGAAGTTGGGCGGGGCCCACTATTTGTTATGTGTATGATCGGTATGTGGTATTTTGGGGGAACTCACTAAGCTTCATGCTTACAGTTTTTAGTTTATGTTTCAGGTACTTCTGGTTTCAGAAGGAAGAGCTCAGGATGACTGCATTGCACACACCATTTGGATTTTGTTATGATGGCATACTCTGATTTATGAAAATTGTTACATTGGGTTATTTTAAATGTTTGGATAATATATAAAGTTACTCTTTTATCTTATATTAAAATGAAAATTTTGGAACCGTATTTTTGGATGTTACAGGTATGCAACATGTTAAAGAGTTTATTAAATAAGTTTGTGTAATATGTTACATGTATGTGACTTTGATGTGACATCATACGACATGCAAAGTGTTATAGGGCTTTACATTACTAAAATACTTTATTTAAAGTGTTTATATATATATATATATATATATATATATATATATATATATATATACCATATGGAAAAAGTTGTGTGATGACTTATGGGAGGTTCGAAACATGCATGGAAAGATGATTCAAGGATTTTGGGGATTGACATTGTCACTCGGGCTAGCTACATGTAGTGATCGAGACAAGATATGCATGATTATACTATGAGTCGCACTTAGACCATTTCTGGACCATTAGATGATTAGCGGACTAATATGCTCATCCCTAGTCACATCATTGGTCATAGGTTACTCTCCATGTGGTATACAATGATAAGAATTTGGGATTAGGATTAAGCGTCCCCAAGAATGGTGTAATAAACATATACACATTTTAAATGGTTTTATTTATAACATTACCTTTCTTGTTATGTATTTATAGAGTTTTCTATTAAAATTTATGTGTTGTTTATGTTTGGGAATACTTAGACTATGATGTTTTCTTTTATGTTGAGGGAACACCCTTTTGTTTTGGTTTTTGGTTATTTCTAAGCTACAAACTGTAAACATTTCCACAATGATGTTTTTAATTAAAATATTATGTTTTTCCTAAAGTGTGTTGCTATTCCCAATAGTTGAAGGTGATGGGTGTTTCATGGCATTTTTTGCAACATGGTGACAATATTTAGTTTCAGGTTTTAAAGTGTTGTATTAGGAATTTGGTCATAAAGAATTATTTTGAATAGATTGGGGCGTAGGGGCCTCTGGATGGCCACTGGAAAAACCATTGTTGAGTAGAGGGCTCGAATTAGACTCTTTGTGTAATTTAAAAGTTGGAAATGGGTACCAACCACTTTTTGGGAGGATATTTTGTTGGGAGAGGTTTCTCTCAAAGCTTGGTTCTCTCATGTTTATGCTCTTGATTTGCATACACATTGCTTACTGAAAGACCAAACATATTTGAATAAGTAACTTGTGTTTTTTTTGGATTTGTGAGAATCGATTGGGATGGGTATGTATGAGTGCAATGTTTTATAGATATCTAAGTTATGGGATATATTTATATTATTTGGTAAAAGTTGGTTTTGTAGGTTTGATAATTATAAATTATTATCATAATAATATTATGGGATTGAAAACCCTATGTGTCACACCGGGTTTCCCAACCTGACCCAATCAAATTATATGCATCACATATAACATGATTAAAAGCTATTGGGGCTTGTTTACACTACTAGAAAATAGACCTTTAATGACGCGCTTTTTACGACACGCGCTGATTAATGATACGCAAAAGGACGTGCCCTTAAAATAGTGTTATCTCTCCAAAAAATTTAAGGATTTACGTCACGCATTATTGCGTGCCCTTAATTTAGTGTCTCAAGAAAAAAAAATTAAAAACACGGAGGGCGCTTTATCTTAAACGCGCGTCGTCTGTACCTGTCGCTTTATAATTTTAATGAAACACGCTTTTAGTAGACAAGGGGGAAACGAAATCCCCAAAATTTTGAAAACCCGCCTTGTTTTTTATATCTTCTATCTATTTTTCATCCTTGCAATTCACTCTCCCCTCTCTGATACTCTCTCATCTAGATCTTCGTTCATTCTCTACCTCCCATCTCATTGTAAACATTGAAGGTGAATCGTAATTGATCTGTGAGGTCTCCTTCTTTTTTTTTCTCAGGTACGACATCATCCCAATCCATTAACCCCTTTCATTTTTCATTAAAAAACCCTAATTGACTTGGCAATTTCATGAACCAGATGTAGCACATTCCAAACTGGGGATTTAACCAAACCCGATAGAGCCATTGACGAAATCTTTGGATTCGGTCAACAAGGACTCTCTGTAATCGCGTAGCTTTCTTCACAAGGGATCGCTCCAGGTATTCAATCTATCAATCTACAATGTCCATTGTCAAGTTACATCGAATCAAGGTCTAGGGTTTCAAATGCTTCAAGTTCTTCCCAAATAACTTCCCCTCTCAAGACGATTTTCCTCAATTTTCTATCGAACTTGGTAGCTGTTGAATCGGTGCATATCGGTGTCAAGAACCTGCCCCGAGATCTATTGCATTTATGAATAAGGAAGATTTGGTAAGGCAGCTCACTCGATATTCTACCTCTCTCGTGTTTTCAACACATAAAACACAAACAAACCTTGAAGTGAAATTTCAAGGTTTTGAATAAGAATCCTCAAAAACCATCATGATTTCAAACGAAACCCCACACCCTAGAGTCCAAACGCTTCTTCTCTGTCGATAGCACATAAAATCTAGGTTTTCTATTGTTTTTATCGACCAGAGACTTTCAATGGAGAAGACAAAATCTGGAAAGAAAGATTCAGATGCCTAGAAATTCAAGGGCATAAACAAAGTTTTTTGATGTATTGTTTCTATCTACTTTTTTTTTCTGTGAACTCTATGAATTAAATTTTCTCGTATGTGTTTAGCATGTCTCAAATCAAGAGACGAATTGTTGATGTGCTTCAACATGGGGAGACAGTAAGTTTCTTATTATGTCAAATTGTTCAAGTCTCTTTTATTATTTTTCAAACTGATTGATGAAAATAATAAGTATAATATTCTTTTCAGGTGTTGCAAGCTTTGAGAAGGCTGAAAGGAAGTTCTAATAGAAAGGAAAAAGATGTTACCTGAAACAAAAATTGTGTCTGATCAACTAACTGAAGATGCCATGAAGTTGATGGAGGATGTTGACTACAGTTGAGATAATCTTCTTTCAACATTTTTCTTTATATTTATTATAAATTTGTCAACATTATGATTTATGTCATAAATATTTCTGCATATGTGTATGATGAAAAACAGGAGGTCTTTCAGAGGGAAGCAGGTAATTAGCATTTCTTTATAAGTTTAATAATGAAATGATTTAAATATCAATAATACAGTATTTCTTATATTCTTAATTATTGGGAATGTTATTACTGAACCTCTGATTTCATTTGTTTTTATAATTACAGAGGGATTTGAGAACCTAGCACGTGCTAGAGGGGAAGGGACCTCTTCTAGTTCAGGAAACAAGCAACCTAATTCCTCTAGAATTAGTGATTCCGGTCTCAATGGAATACCTTCCACAGATAATACTGCAAACAATGAGGATGATTCCTTTGACATGTTTGCTGAAGATGATGACAAATCTACTGTTGATCCATCAGCTGGTAAGCAGACATGAAGTTTTTTCGTTTTTTTTTCATTCAGATGGTTTATTAGAATATTGCCCCTCAATTCTGTTTTCACTTGCAGGCATTGGATCTACAGAAAACGATTATGTATTTGATGAATCCTCAGGGTATGCATCTCTTTTTGTTTTCCATTCAGATTTATATTTAGTCAAAAAGAAACAACATCTTATTGTTTCTATATTTTTTTTTACAGTTAGTACTACAACAACAGTTTAGGATATTATTATGACTCATCTTTAGGACTGTATTACAGTGCAACATCTGGACAGTGGCAATATATTATATAATGTGGTCACTATTTTCAACCTGATTTAGTATTATTTGAATTATACTGATTTTGATTTGGAGATAAAATGTGGTTATATATAAAGTAATGTGTTTGTGTTTTGTATTTTCCAGGTGTTCTTGTAACCAAGAAACTGGTGCCTATGAGGAGTTGCCATCATGGGAAGGCAATGTAAATGGAATTGCAACATAGTGGAATGGAATTGGAATCATTATTTTCAACCTGATTTAGTATTATTTGAATTATATTGATTTTGATTTGGAGATAAAATGTGGTTATATATAAAGTAATGAGTTTGTGTTTTGTATTTTCCAGGTGTTCATGTAACCAAGAAACTGGTGACTATGAGGAGTTGCAATCAGGGGAAGGCAATGGAAATGGAATTGCAACATAGTGGAATGGAATTGGAATCACAGGTTTCACATCCTGCTGTGCGTGGTACTTATGGAAGCTTCATTCAAATTTCAACATGTTTAGGGTTGATGGGAGCTCTTTTAATCGGGATTCCTGTAAAGAGCTCTTTTAGTGTAATTAAAATTAATCCCTTTCATATTAGTCAATGTACTCATGCAAAATGCTTGGTCCATAAACATTACAGCCATAGGGCTATCACCTGAGGATTGGATACAAGTTCCACCAGCATGAATTTTTCCTCTTCTGTTTTATAAATTATCATCATCACTCAATCACGATGGCGAAGCGTGAGCTTGTATAACATCATACCTTATTCGGTCATGGCTTGCATCCATACATTGCAAGAGCAAGAACTAGGTCTAGGTTATGCATATACAATATATTCTTAAAACATCTAACTAGTGATGTGCATGCTATTTTTAGGTCTGTAATGCAGGCAGAGGAAGGAACATCAAACTTTTGAGGTACAACAGTTTGCCCACTCTGTCCCTTCTTTTAAAAAAATTGTTACGGGCACCAAAAGAGTTGGATTTTAGGATATGAGAGATCAGTTAAAGCTGTTGAAGAATTCAAGAGTTTTGCAGTAGAAGGCAATGTATATGAAACCATATGTTCCAAGATTGCCCCTTCCATATTTGGCCATGAATATGTAAAAAAAGTTGTGGCGTGTCTCCTGTTTGGAGGATCAAGGAAGGTATAATGTCAACTTTACCCTTGAATATTGTTGTCTGTACTTAATCATTTAGGAGCTCATTTCCTCTATTTCTACAAACTTTACCTGATGGTGTAAGATTGAGGGGTGATATTAATGATTTGCTCTTGGGAGACCAGAAAATAGTTTGGATTAGAAATTGAACAAGGTGTCTCTTAATAGCAATGTAATAATAGGTTAGATAGTTAGGGATTGTATTTTATTCAATGGATTGTATTTTTTGTATATGATTATTTATATGACATTAAATTTTATGTAATGGATTGTATTTTTTGTATATGATATTTTATTTTCTATTATGAGACGTTAAATACAATTTAATTTGAAAATTAGTAAATCTATAAATAATATTTTTTTAAACATTTAAAATTATGATACGCAAAAATGTGTGTCATCTTCATTTATGACATGGCCTTTCTTGACAGGGGCTTTCTTGATACGCATTGCGTGTCATTAACACGCACGTCGTAAGGTTACGAAACGCTAATGCGTGTCGTCTTCCTTTATGACAGAGCCTTTCTTGATACGCATTGCGTGTCGTAAACGCACGTCGTAAATGAGCGTCATAAATGCACGTCGTCTATAGACGACGCGCGTCGTCTTCATTTATGACATGGCCTTTCTTGACAGGGGCTTTCTTGATACGCATTGCGTGTCATTAACACGCGCGTCGTAAGGTTACGAAACGCTAATGCGTGTCGTCTTCCTTTATGATAGGGCCTTTCTTGATACGCATTGCGTGTCGTAAACGCACGTCGTAAATGAGCGTCATAAATGCACGTCGTCTATAGACGACGCGCAAAAGCGCGTCGTCTCTCTCTTTATGACAGGGCATTCCTTAACGCGCATTTGCGCGTCGTCTGAGCCCTTTACGATGCGCAATGAGCGTCGTAAAAGGCTGGTTTTCTAGTAGTGTTAGGATGCCTACTGATTTAGAGATAACCTGCAATAGTGTTGGAATAGTGTCTAAGGCTGCAACTATATTGGGCAAGTATTTGACCCGATTGTGCATGGTCCTTTTGGGTTGCCTTCACCATAGCAACTTGACAGGATGATTTATTATGAGAGAAAATATATTATTAATATATTATGAGGATAATATAAGAAATAACAATATTGTTATTTGATTAATATAAGTCATAGATTAATTAGTATTAATTTGGTGACTTAAAGAGATTAATTAAATAAGAGGGTATAAACCGTCAATTGTTTGATAGTTACACTTTGGGCTATATATCCTTTAAGGATAAGAGGGTGGACGAATTCTAGGGCTTGGGATAGCCTCAAATTCATCCAAAGGCTTATCTTTGGAAAGGATTTGGATTGCTTTGAGTAATAGTTATCCAATTAGGGTTTAAGGGTGAAACCCTAGGAGCCTTACAAGTATAAATAGACCTCTTGGGGTGGGGAAATCGACACCTATGTCTTTGGAAGAACCCTGGACGATTTTGTCCTCTATCCTCTCTCTTAATTCATTCTCCTTACTAGTTGGTGTTTGTAAGCCATTAGAGGAGTGACAATTGTGACTCTAGAGCTCTAAGAACAAGAAGATCAAACAAGTGGTTCAAAGTAAGCTTCTATCTTTGTTTTTGTATTGTTCTTATACCTTATTAGTCATTAGAAGTCTTGGATTTAATGCATGTTTAATTAGAGAAACCTAGATCCAAGCATTAGGGTTTGCATTTGCACATAGGAATGTTCATATGGCCAAAACCCATAGTGGTATCAGAGCCTAGGTTGGTTTCTATTAAATTGTTGCTTGATTGTTTGAATCTTACTTGCAAAATACGAATTTTGTGTTTTTGAGTCATGGACTCGGCGAGTCCCATAGTGGACTCGGCGAGTTGGCCTGACTCGGCAAGTCCAAAGTGGGTACTCGGCGAGTCCGAGCGTCAGGAAGAGCCAAAATCGGGATTTTTTGATATTTATGTTATGGAAACTTACCTTTATCATATTAGATCAACCCAAATCCGATTTTATGATATATATGACTATATTTTTGATCTAGTTGAAGATATTTATCAATTAATAAAATATTTAATTTCCTTATGTGATAATTATTAATTATTTTGATTAAATTGGTAAATTGTTTTTCAAGAAATCATAAACATATCAAATATGGATAATTATGTGATTAGTTGTTAATTTAAATTATTTGTTATTTGATCCTTTATGTTTTAAAAGGTTTAAAACTTGCCCTCAAGTTTTGAAATTTATGTTTTGTGATTAAAAGTTTAATTTAGACAATTTAAATTTCAAAACCTAGAGTTTTTTTTTACAAGTTTAAAATCCAACCATATAATAATATAATATTACAAGATTAATATCTATATATGTATAACTTAAATGCTAGTCTTACCGTTAGTAAGCCTCATTCACAAAGCCGGTTTATAAGGTGGGTATAAGGTTGCGACCTGTAAAATGGCGCTTAATGGGTGTACAGTCACACCCACCGCTTGCTTGATCGGTGGAGGGTCGTTAGCCGAACGGGTAGGATAGGGTAACCTCATCCTCTCATTAAAAGTATAATATGAAATACAAAGTAACTACATGTTTTTCTTAAAATTTCCCAATCTTAGTTACTTTAGGAAAAGTGAATTGATACAATCCCATGAAATTACACTTTGCACCTTGCTAAGAAGTTAGTGGAGCGTGTGTGGTTTACCGGCACACTAACTGGTTCTAAGCGAAGGTGACAAAGGGTGATTCATTGTTTATCATATTTCGATGGAGCGTGTGTGGTTTACCGACACATCGAGTAGGTGATCGTTACAATGAAGGCACCATGTGAATTTGCATGGTAATTCACACCAGCTTTGTGATCCTCGGTATCCCAGTCACAAACAAGAGGGGCATATCGAGATTTAAACATGCCATTGAAAAGTTTCAATGAATCTCATCCAAACCTAGCAATTCTCAATACATTTAGGACTTAAAGTTATGTTTTGTGGTGGAGAATTAGTGAATCGTCATTCACTTACCTTCAAAGTGTTTGCATGTTAGATTACGTCATCCCTTTTCTAATATGTAAATATCGTTGTTGGATCCTAGCCCTAATTTTTCTTATTAGGTGATAATTAGGGATTCATATTCTAATCTATCTTTGTCCTTTATATTTGTAGATGTCGAACGCTAACAACGCTGCTGCTAGTTCATTCACATTGATGAGCCTTTGTCAAAAGGTCACCTTCGATGGAATGAACTTTAGCGAATGGATAAGATACATTCTCACGATTGCGCGCTATGAGGATAAGGAGTATGTCCTCGATGAGAAGCTCGAGAAAATCTACCCTGAAATCGCTACTTCGGCTGAAATGACCGCTTTTGAAACTCATGAGCGTGATGCAACGAAGGTTCATTGCATCATGATAGCCACTATGAACTCCGAATTCCAAAAGGCCTACGAGGACATGTATCCGTACGAAATGCACCAAGACTTATTGGAGAGATACCACCAAAACACAAGACAAGAGCGTTATGAGATTTTCACTAACATGATTTCCGCTAAGATGGGTCATGGAGAGTCTCTTACCGTGCACATGCAAAAGATGCAAAGGTATGTCGACCGTCTTCGCAAGTTGAATGTTGACTTTGGGGAAGACTTGGCGATCGACATGGTGCTTCACTCTTTGCCTCCATGTTACAATCAATTTAGGATGACCTACCACATGAACAAAGAAGAGGTCACCCTAAGCAAGCTCCAAGGTCTCTTGAGGGTCGCTGAGAGCAACTTCAAGGACAAGTCTGTTGCACCAACTCCCAATCCACCTACTGCTCCTGTGTTGGCTATTGGACAAGGAAGGGGAAAGAAGAGGAAGGATTCGTCTAAGAATCATCGCAAGGTTAAGCCCCGAGATGGTGCCTCTTCTAGTGGGACCAAAGTTGATCCTGCTAAACCCTGCCCTAACCCACAAGAGGCAGAGTGTCACCACTGCCACAAGATAGGACACTGGAAGAGAAACTGCCCAAAGTACCTGCAAGCCATCAAGGAAGGAAAGATCAAGCCGTCTTTCGCAGGTATATACACAATTAAATCTAACGATTCATCTCATGTTATTTCTTGGGT